ATGCCCAAACTAAAATTGCGGACAACTGAATTATGTTGATAAGAAAATCAAATAATTCAAAGTATAATAACTTGTTTTTTTCTTACAATATGTCAATAAGTATCAAGATGCTTTCACATTGTCTTGTACCAAGCTTTTGTGATGAAAAAGATTTTTATTGACCTAAAAAGCTTGAAATATGAAGCTCCATGGCAAATGTTAGCATTGGAATGAATACGGTATGATATTGTACGGTATGATCATACATTTATGAAGTAGAATGAAAATATCATCACACAATTAAGATACATACGATTTGAATTGATTTCAAATAAAACAAGAAGCGCCGCAATGCGACGAAAACCAGGTTTTCAACGACCAAGTTTTGATGTGACAACAATCAATAGGTCAAAGTGCACTGAAGTTATTGAGTAGATACTGAAAATTCTTTTGTAAGCAAATTACCTTGACCTTGTACCCAGATATCTAAGTGGCAATCCAAAGCTGCCACTCAGCAAGTTCAATGTCAAAAGGTCAAAGCAAACTCAAGTTATAACATGAAAACTAAATGCATTAACCTTGATCACAGACACCTGGGTAGCAATCCCAAGCTGCCTCTTGATATAAGCTACCCATTCATCAAGTTTGGTGTCAATAGGGCAAAGCAATCTCAAGCTATTGAGCAGAAACTGAATTTCTATTTTTAGTAACAGTGACCTTGACCTTGATTACAGACACCTGGGTAGCAATCCCAAGCTGCCTCTTGATATAAGCTACCCATTCATCAAGTTTGGTGTCAATAGGGCAAAGCAATCTCAAGTTATTGAGCAGAAACTGAATTTCTATTTATAGTAACAGTGACCTTGACCTAGATCACAGACACCTGGGTACCAATCCCAAGCTGCCTCTTGATATATCCTATCCATACACCAAGTTTGGTGTCAATAGGCCAAAGCAATCTCAAGTAATTTAGCGGAAACTGAATTTCTATTTTTAGTAGCAGTGACCTTGACCTAGATCACAGACACCTGGGTAGCAATCCCAAGCTGCCTCTTGATATAAGCTATCCATATACCAAGTTTGGTGTCAATAGGCCAAAGCAAACTCAAGTTATTGAGCGGAAACTGAATTTCTATTTTTAGTAACAGTGACCTTGACCTTGATCACAGACACCTGGGTACCAATCCCAAGCTGCCCCTTGATATAAGCTATCCATACACCAAGTTTGGTGTGAAAAGGCCAAAGCAAACTCAAGTTATTGAGCGGAAATTGAATTTCTATTTTTAGTAACAGTGACCTTGACCTTGATTACAGACACCTGGGTAGCAATCCTAAGCTGCCTCTTGATATAAGCTACCCATTCATCAAGTTTGGTGTCAATAGGGCAAAGCAATCTCAAGTTATTGAGCAGAAACTGAATTTCTATTTATAGTAACAGTGACCTTGACCTAGATCACAGACACCTGGGTAGCAATCCCAAGCTGCCTCTTGATATAACCTATCCATACACCAAGTTTGGTGTCAATAGGCCAAAGCAATCTCAAGTTATTGAGCGGAAACTGAATTTCTATTTTTAGTAACAGTGACCTTGACCTAGATCACAGACACCTGGGTAGCAATCCCAAGCTGCCTCTTGATATAAGCTACCCATACACCAAGTTTGGTGTCAATAGGCTAAAGCAAACTCAAGTTATTGAGCGGAAACTGAATTTCTTTTTTTAGTAACAGTGACCTTGACCTTGATCACAGACACCTAGGTACCAATCCCAATATAAGCTACCAATACACCAATTAAGTTTGGTGTCAAAAGGCTAAAGCTAACTCAAGTTATTGAGCGGAAACTGAATTTCTATTTTTTAGCAACAGTGACCTTGACCTTGATCACAGACACATCGGTAGCAATCCAAAGCTGCCTCTTGATATAAGCTACCCATACACCAAGTTTGGTGTCAATAGGCCAAAGCAAACTCAAGTTATTGAGCGGAAACTGAATTTCTGTTTATAGTAACAGTTACAGTGACATTATTCACAGACACCTGGGTAGCAATCCAAAGCTGCCTCTTGATATAAACTATTTACACAAGTTTGGTGTAAATTGGCGAAACAAACTCAAGTTATTGAGCGGAAACTCAATTTCTGTTTATAGTAACAGTTACAGTGACATTAATCACAGACACCTGGGTAGCAATCCTAAGCTGCCTCTTGATATAAGCTACCTACACACCAAGTTTGGTGTCAATAGGCCAAAGCAAACTTAAGTTATTGAGCGGAAACCAAAAGTTGACGCCCGCCCGCCCGCCCGCCCGCGCGACTTCGGCATTACAATAACCCGGTTTTCGTTGAAAACCTGGTTAATTATTAACAAATGGTCTGAAGCGGAAAGGAGCAACTTTAGATATTTCAAGCACTATTTGAAATAAAGCATTTACGGGTACATTGCAATAGGATTGTGATTTACAATTATAGGGCCCAATAATAATGAATCGTTGTTCACCCTGTACAATGTTGAAGAAGATATATAATGTCTTTGTATCTAAAATTATTATCTGTATATCGAAAATGATTAAAAGAACACATTAGAAGAAACTTTTTGCAGATATTAACAAATTCATTTAAATTATTACGTTTAAAGTAAGTTAATATCTTGAAAATGATATAGGGTATATTGAAAAATTGTAGATTAATATTAATTTTATTTGTAGATTTAAATAAAATCATATTGATTTATTCAAGAGCTACTTAAGATATAAATCATAGTCTTGAAAAGGTTCTTTTCTTACTTAAAATATGACATTTGATTTGAGATTATTCGTAATACAATATTTTAATTTTTAATGCTATGAAACAAACTATATTTAGTTTACTTGCAAACAGTTTAGAAATTGACAAGCTAATCATTGTTACACAAATGATGAGGACGTTTTATGGTTGACACTTTGTCTTGATATCTTCAATATTATAGAGAATGTGTAAAGTCTGATCCAAAATACCACTTTGGTAAAAGGTTTCTGTAAAGTTAATTCTACCAATTTTCTCAAAATATTAGATTGGATTGGACATCACCGTCAGTCGCTAAACAATATTGATATAACGAATACAATTCCTCTTGATATGAGATATATGTTGTCCTGTGACCTCATTTTATGTGTTATTATACGACAAACTAGCACAATTATTCTCAACAGACTGTCCTTAACTCTTCAAAAAAGATAGAGGGACCTAGATTGAGCAATTAATTTTGAAGTTCAACAAATATCAATGCAACTTGCTATATAGTTTTATCTAAATTTTTACACTATTAACAAATCATATTCTGAGAGAGGTAATTTAGTGCTTCAGATTATTGCACTATAATTCTAATCTTCTCGATCTGATTGACATTAATCATGAATTATAAATTAATTAAAAGACAGTTCGAGGAAGTAATTTTTATTTCAACAGTCAAAGAATGCTATAAATCCCTGCTAAAATAACAGCTCTGGTAGTAATACTTTAGCAAAATCAGAACTTTTCAACCAGCCATTTATTCAAATATGTAATTGTATCATTTTGGGCATCTTTTGATTAATGGAAAATAAGCAAGCCTATAAAACTTATTTTTATTTTTATTTGACTTCCAAACTTACAATGGAAATACGAATTTATAAGGTAATTATTTACATCATTTGCACGTTTCTTAATAAGTAGAATAATGCATATTAACCAAATGAATAACTAATTTTAGAAGGTTTTAAATTAGTAATGATTTACACATTCACGGAAACTTGCAAGTTACAAGAATTTCGTTAATTTCTGTTAAAAAAATACATGATATATCATCGTTATTTATGTTGATGGGGAAATTTATATTTACTTTGTATGACAATGCAAGGACTTAAGCCTAAAGTGTTTTGCTGTTAGTATATCTTATTAGGCCACGAAGAATAAAGATGCGTCATTTTGAAAGTTATATGCAAGGGGCGTTATGTGTTGAAGGGTATTGTGACTTGATTTGTTATTTAAACATTGTTTGGCTATTAAAAGGACTCCACTGAAATGTTTTGACAACAGTGAAGTTAATCAAAAATCTGGAAGCAATCTGGGACAATTCTAAAATTATTTCTTTTTTTTTACATACGTAGTCAAGACATGGTTATATACAAATGACATATTTGTACAATGGCTTTTAATTTACAGATCACTGTCAAGTTAGATATCTTAACATTATAATAAACGCAAATTTTGACAAAATATCATTATCTTGCTACGTTGTCAAAAAAAATAAGTAGAAAAAATCATATAAACAAAAAAATAAAGTATATGTGCTCTGTCAGCAATAATCATACAGCTTGATAACCTTCATCAGTTATAAGACAAAATAAGTGGCATGAAGTGGTATGTGCCGATAGATTCAATTCTGAAAGAGAGCTAGGAGTTTATTTCCAAATAAAATCCTGAAAATATGTCCATGCGTACACAGTGGGTACATCAAACAATCATATGATATAATAAAAGGCCAATGCTCATTATGATTTAAAGGAAATTCTATATCTAACAGAATTGTGAAGGCCTTAGTAAAATCTATAAACCCAGTATAAAATTACTTATTATAATTCGACTCATACTTTAATAAAACATAAGTATGATGTGTGCTTGTTTTGTGAACCAGGCCAGTGTTTTGATAACAGATTTTGGTCTTCAAGCTCTCATAACATGCATAAAAGTTGTTTGCTAATTTAAATATAGAAGCTTAAAATACCATATCTCAGTCATTTCTGTAACCGTGAGTGTGGACTTTACGGGTGAAATAAAATTTGATATACTTTGAATCATGAAAACTAAACCAATTTGCTATGGAATTTAAACTTTCAGAAGATTTTAGTCAAACGAAGATTTAAAACGTACATATCTTGTTTCTAAATTGGCATTTATGTAAGCTTAAACTTAAGCTTAAGACCACTTCATATAATTATTTTGAATTTATTCTGCTGAATCGGAATACAACAATGCAAAGGACAATTCGGCGATGAACAGAATAATTTGAACCATTTTATTACTGTTACATAACATTTTATTTTCATTGTAGAGATTAGACTATCATATTGTGGTACATTTACAGCGATGATCAACACATTCTGGGATCGTGTTCGCGGAAGAACATGTGCAGTCTTTAGTTTCAGTGCAATATGGAGCTGAAATAATACAAAACATTCATTTACATGGATGTTGTTTAAAAATACAACGCAGAACAACAGGTTTTTTCTTACCAATTACTAATTGCAATGACATTTACCTTATCAAGTACAAATGTATGCACATGACATTTTTAGAAATGTTTTGAGTGCCGAAGTGTAAAATTGCAAATAGATTTCCTTCAAAACGATTATGATAAACTGACAAAAAAAGATTCTCTAACATTACCTATACATTGGCAACGATTACTTGAGCAATGAAGATGTTTGTCGGCTCCGCATTTCCAGCCATGACTTACACACTGATACGTTGTCACACAATACTCCCCACTTACATACACTGAAACATGCTAGAGTCAGCACATTTTACAGAATAAACGTATATTTTTTACCAGTTATTAAAGGGACATATGCAGGAAACTAGCAGATTGCTTACTTTTCTGAGCTACAATTGTTTCGATCATGTCTGGAAAATACAAGCTTTACTTGAATGTTAACAAACAATAATATGTTAACAAACAATATCAAAATAAACAAAGAGATTAATACGATAATTTTACTGTGAATATCCGGTTTTTAGATCTCTTGATATATAATGTTTGATATTAGAAAGTACTTACCAACTAAGGCAAATAGAACACCAAATATAAGACCTCGCATGATTATTTTGTATGAAATCTATAGTTTAAATGGTGAAAATTAGGACAATTTATAGAGATAATTACAGATAAGAATATTTTCATTACATTTAGGTTATATGATGTGACAACTATGTCACGAATAGTATTTCCTACTAAATTATAAAAGTGCACTAAAATTTTAATATCTTAAGTCTTGTGTGAATAACATGTTGTTTCTTTCCTCTTTGTTTCACATTTACATCTATTTACTATGAAACACATTTTGATTTTATTCAACATGATGTGATTACATTAAATGTTGTTGAATAATCTAACTATGCAAACAGTTTATTGAGTAATGAACGAGCAGACCACTGCAGAATAAATATTATGATAACTGCTCGATCGAGTGGCGAAAATATTTTAAAAGTGTGCAACAGTCAAAGTGTGACGCCACACTATTGTTTGCAAAAATATTAAAGACTCTTAATGTAATGGTACAATTCACTAAATATGACAAATAATATATCATTTAATCTAAGATTAATTTCATTTGCGAAAAAAAATATTGCAGCTGGAATTCACGCAATTATACTAGAGGCAGTAAAATCGTTTATTTTATCAATCATGGATGGTTTTCTTAATGGTCTAGAACTGGAGTTATGTCAGTAGAAAACGAAAATAGTTGTCTCATTATGAAAACGATAATCGTAAAATATCGGTAAAGCAACTTAATTATCTGCTGATTCAGCTTTAAGTTACAGAAGATGAAATAATGTTCGATTTTCCGGATGTACAAAAACAAACAATGAGAAAACAAATTAAAATGAAAAACAAAATCAACCATAAGTAGTAAAAGGTATCTTACTTAAAAATATATTAGTTGTTAATGATGAGAATCAGACGTTATTGTCTGCTGTCACCGTTACAATTTAAGATTTTTGGCTGTATATGCTTAAACTACACCTACATTTATACTCTTTGTTAGACGCTGCGTGCACGCAGCAACTCATGTATATGCATTTGTCTTTTCAACAAAGGGAATAAATTTAGCATTATTTGTTGTTTTCTTTAATTATTTTTGGTTGTTGTGTCAACAAAATCAGTAAATTTAAATTTAATTTTAATTTAATTCCTTAACGGACGCAACGGGTGCACCGGATTCTTCGGAAAAGTGTATAACTAGTTACCATAATTGTGTTGCATGACTAAAAGTAACCTAGTTTTTTTCGTTTTTAAAGAAATAACTACACCATGAAGGCTCTACGGCAACCATTCACTTCATGATATATGTTAAAACTTTTACGACAGCTGAAATAAGTGATGGAATTCAATTTTGCCATTCTTGGTTGATTGTAGCTAAGAACACTTAGGATTTCTCCCTTCTTTTTGCTGGTAATTCTTTGCTAGTTTATATGCCAAAATTAGAGGCTATAAATATTCTATTTCTTATCAGCATCAAATCAAACGGCCCCACTGTCTTATGGTTAATGTTTTTCTTTTTTTAATTTGACTAAATATTTACTGTGTGTATTACAATAAAGGGAATCCCACAACACCTCTGTGTATGATTTGCACAAATGTGCATGTATAATACGATTTCAAAAGCACGTCTTGATAAAATCACACATTCGTATAATACTCTAAAATCAGTGATATTTCTTGGACACTGAAATCCTTTTAACCATACTAGTAAAAAAATGCTTACACTTCTTTTAAATTTTCAATAATTTCTCATGAATACTTTATTCAACATTTAATGTACTATTTATTTTTAAATTTCCGTTTAAAATAACGAATACCATTAACGGTCATACCCCTTACTTATGTGTATGAAAATAAAGAACAAAGACAGATAAACAACACAGCTAATATTCTTTGTAAAATATGTTTGGTTAATGCATGATGAAAAGATAAGGTTTTAAATTAGTGTATTTTCGTTTGTTGCAAAAACGTTATTGATATAGTATTGCTAAAATTCTGAAATCGTTATCTAAATTACTTGTAAACGAGGGTTAAATGAAATGAAAATTATTGAGTACGAATAATATTTTCTTTTTCGTTCGTGTTGGCCTTTACCTTTTTACAGCACAGGATTTTTTCTATACGTACATGTATATATTGGTTCAAAAGGAAAACTTTTAAAACGTCTACATTGTTCCCGAAATATTATGACATCGATGCATGTTATTTATTTATTCCTTTCATTTTTGTTTATTTTATATGAATTCATATTAGTTCTATTGCGTTTGAAGCTGTTGGCTTTTTGAAACACTCGAATCGATCCCATTTTTCTGCTAAGCACTATTAACAATGGTTGTTTCTTAGAAAAAACAACAATTAAAACATTCCGCCATAAAAAACAACAACAACAAAAAAAACAGACAAAAAAAAAACAAGAGCAAGACAAACAAACATCAAAACCACAGATGGGACAAGTGTTTATCACATGCATATACCAAACACTTGCAAAAATATGTTTCCTTTAAGGAACAAGTTTAATGATTTTTAGCCATATAAAAAATAGATTCCACTCGTTAACAATAAATAATGCATTTCGATATATTCTAATTAGCATAATAAAATTACTATCATTTACAGGTACATTTACTTTCTAAAAACGATTTTCCTTCCATAAAGTAGATAACATGGATCATGTGGAATGTACTTTACAAGCAAATGCTGTTAATACCATGTCACTACGTACATGCATGGTAATTGTCCATACTATAATTTCTTGACATTGTTTCAGACACTGATACTGAAATAAACATTGTATAATAATTGCTTAGTTTTACTTCAGTAGATAAATACCTAAAGTACATTTATTTACACTTTCGCCAACTAATATAACGTACTCTTGTATAACGTGTTTAAGAAATTGAACCAAACAAATCATGTTTTGAAGGCATCTTACCAATTTTCTCAGATAATTAAATTGGGCTTGGCATCACCTCCAGGCTGAAAACACAATTATGAGATTACTACCTCTTGATTTATATTCGTTGGTTTTTCAGCGGGGGATATTTTTGTGACATCATTATTTTCTAATTTAATAAAAATGAAATAATAACTAGACCGATATGACGATAACTGAAATGAAAAATAACTTTGAAATTAATATTTTTAACATTAATATATATCTTGGTTGATAAGTTTATCCCATTGAAACATTTAAATTAGGCTTCAATAGTCATTAATGTTGGAAAACAAGTATTGACCTTATAAAGATGCTTATAAATATATGTTTCCAGTCTAGTCTTTTTACCAATATTTGTTTCATATTCTCGTCTTACGATGCCTTCTCTTGTGATTCACTGTCTTAAAGAAAATTGAATTTAGAATATAGCTACCTGATATACGTATGGAAAAAAAGAATAAGATATTTTCCTTTGATACATTACTCTTCTTACCCATTTTGAGACATACCCAAATGTAATTTATTTCTCACTTTTTCTTTAAATTTACCAAATCAACATTGGAATTTGAACAACATTATACTATGCCCTCATGATTTCTTTTGATCTATGTGGGACAGAAAACTGATACAAAAGAAATATTTGGTCTAAAATAAGTTTATTAGCAGTTCATATTTTTATGGGATAAATTGAAAAGCCTGTACCATATAGTAAGGAAACATTAAAACGAATGTTTTCCCGAAAATAAATCACAATTTCCTCGTAAAATAGAACTGCATTGAAATATTTTAGGTCAACCGTGCGGTGTCACTTCCCCACATATAATAAAATGTCTCACGGTATGGGCACTGTTAACATGATGCTTAAGAAGAAATAGCTTCATGTTTCCAATTATGTCTACAGTGTGTTATCATACCTTCAGATATTGTAAACTGTATATCTAACTTAATAAATAAATATGCGAGAAATATCTGTTGTTGTTATTGTTTCTTTTTTTGCGATGACTGTTTTTTAAAGTATTAAAGTATACCTATGAAACATTCTTTAGAAAGGGCACATATGAATTTGATAATGTTTACATAATGTTTTCAGAAAATATAAGATGGTTGTATCCTTGCTTGTTACCTGAAGAAATGAACAATTAATGCGCAATAATAATTATCATAAAAACAAACTGTAAAAAGTAGCTGTTTGACTTCTATAAAAAAAAGTAAATCACTTTAGGTGTCCTTTTTTTCTAAAATCAACAGTTTAAATGATAGTTCAGGTTATTTGCCAATGTGTAACTTTTTGGATACTATAAAAGTACAATTATTTGAAAACAGAATGAAAACAATTTTTTAAGGCATAATGGGTCGTTAGTAGCGTAAGTAGTACAGAACTAGTCTCGTCCTGCCTTAAAGAAACATGTTTGTATGATGACAAATCGTTGGTTCTCTATTATAGATACATGTAGTTTGTAAAACTGATATTATCTAAAGACCATTACGTGACAGCATTTTAACATCTATGCTTGGAGTGAAACAACAGCAACACATAAAGTGCTATAAGGTTTGCTATGTCTGTTCATAGGCTGATCTGTCAAACATGTGTAAGATTATTGTTGATTGTATTAATGTAACAAAACAAGGTAAAACATTGTGAAATTGTATGAGTGTTTTATATAATAAACGATCTGCTTGATAGAGAGAAGCGTTATAAAACAGTAATTCATCGCATCGCTTTTGTTCTACAGTGGGACACACTTGTAACGAATATGTGTTAACCGTTTACCCGATGAGCTTATTGTGAAAAATGGCCGTTTTCACTGAAAAGCCTCCTGTTACAAGCTCAAACTGCTACAAAACTATGAAAAATGCTTCAATATCGATGAAACTTGGCACAAATATTGACTGGACCATAGCCTCTGTAACAGCATGCTTAATTGTAAATTTCCTGTTACCATGACAACGGGGGACGTCTCAAAATTGCCAAAAAATACTATTTTGCATTGTTCTATTCCATCAAAACTTATTTCAAAGTGCTGCAACTTGTCATTGAATTGAGATATCAGTATCGGTTACGACCTGAGGCCATTTTTTAGCTTGTCACATGTCCAAAATTTTCTTTTCGATGAGGGAAACTACCGCCCCCTTCACTTCAACCCCCCCCCCCCCTTCCGGAAACAAAATGGAGCACATCCCCTTTTTGGTAACCCCCTGATGTACCATTTTGATTGTGCGGCGCTGAAAAAGTGGTCATTTCAACAGTGTTTTGGGCCTGAATAGGGCATTTTTTCACCGTTGAGGCCTGAAAAGGGGGGACAAAAGCCGCCAAAACACGTAAGGGAAAAGGTTAAGGGAGATAACATTATATCGAAAGAAAATGAATTCACAAACATGCACCCTTCATTATTAATTATCTGGTCACGTGCTTAGAACGAATTTTGAAAAAGCGATGAATAATTATAACAAACTATGCGCTGAACGTTTACTGGTGAAAGGAAATGGTCTTTACTGAATTTAGTAAAAGGATTGATACAATGTTTAATATTCACTTGAGAAAATGCATGTACTTGAACACTTTCACCAGTCATATAGATTGATTAAAGAAACTTACTCCTTCTCTCCTGCCACAGTAGTTACGGATCAGTAATAACATACATTTAATTAATGGCTTAAATGTTTTCCGTATACATAGTAAATTGTCATGTTCGATTTTGATATCTTAAAATCGTTTAAAAACATTCAATATCATATGGAATGTATACACATCTGTTTAATTCCTCCCACTGTTAAAGCGAGCATCAGTCATTATAAGAAGTCCCAGGCAGGGAACTGTACAATCACAGTCCAGTATTCAAAATGGTTAATTTCTATTATTAAAACGCAAGAAATCAGCGGAAGAAAAACAAGATAAGAAAGGGAAAAAGAGGAAGATAATTGCATTTATTAAGTGTTTTTCTTTTATTTACATGTATCTTGTTATATGCATCAAAATACTGCGCCCGTAACCGGGTGGTTACGGTAAAAAAAATAATATCCCTTTCTTCTTATCGCGGTGGGTTCGAAGTTCACAAGCGGCGCAGGATTCTTTCCAAGACGGAAGTTAATCAAACGTCGGGTTTTCTTCTTTGCCTGGTATTTTGTTCGTTAAAGCACGTAAAATCATCCTCTACTATAGCTGGAAGGTCGTCAAATGACTTTGACAGTGTTGTTGCGATAAAAAATCAATCCAACAAACACACAGAAATTTTAAAAAATGAAAACATTTTGTCACGGCTAGTATTGGATATAACGAACCAGTTCTATCCAATTCGACATGACGCATAATGACTATTGTATAAATGGACAATTAAAAATTAAATTTAAGTTGGATTTTTTATGTTATAAGTTCTAAAACAATACTCAATCATCATTTACCTGAACCATCTGTTGCTTATGTTGCTTTTTTGCAATCATTATATTATAGATCAAGACACTAACTTTGTTTCAAAATTGTAAAATAATATCTTACATTTTTTTAAACATTAGTAAAGGCATGTAGGCAATTTTCTAAAGAAGAAAGAAATTTCGTTTCGCTTCTGAAGTAAATTGAATATTCTTTCGAAAAATCAAATAATTTCGATTGAAATAAAGCCTTTCCCGATTAAGGCAACATGAAATTGTACACAATAGGTAAAACTATATGTTCTGATCATAGCCATAAATAAGACAAGACTTGTAAAGGAGGACAGCGTGCTAGGCTATTATGAGTTCTTACTAGTAATAGATAAATACAGAATCCCTAAAGAAAGCCCAACACGGCAAAATTGAAAATGTTGCAGGCTCGGTTTGATTGAGCCTGTTCATGGACGGTACTGGAAAGTGCAAGTTACCGTCCACGCCCCCTAGCACCGGCTTAAGCAGAATTCAACATTTAACATGAACTGGTAAAATTTAGAATTTTGAAACATCCGCAGATGTGAAACCTTGATATTGTGGAGTTTTCAAATTTTAAAATAATTTTCTAAATTTTTTGTATGTAAGATTAAATAGCAAATTCAAAAAGAAAGAGAAAAATAAAATATATGTTGATGTGCATAAGACAGCTTCATCCTCACAGCAAGCACACTTTATACAAAAGTACATTATCTAATTATTCTGAATAAAACATATGATAATCTGAACATATTTCTTTAAAATGTGAGTTTTTCAAGCGCCTTGACTTAAAAAGATGAGAAAAACAAACATAACTTTAGTTTGTTAATTATTAAAAATATCGAAAATTTCTTTCATAAAATTTTCTAAAATTTTTGTATGATAATTAAAAGGTGCAAGTCAATTTATTTTGTGTCATTAACAATCAATCCACGATGCGATTGATAATATTTGACCTCATTCTATGATCTTTACTTTTTTTGTTCACTCCAGTTATTGAGTTTGTCACTTACTGTTATGAGAAAGAGAGGTTTGTAGTACGGTGGCATATTTCTGCCACCAGATAACTAACTAGTAAATTATTTGTTTGTTTGTTTGTTTCATTTTACGCCATTTCCCAACAGTATTTCAGTCATACAGGCGGGAAGTTTCCTAACCATCGTTCCTGGAGAGTTACACCAGTACTAGACTACCTTCCTCCGTGCTAAACTACCAACCCACGCCAGAGAGTTAAATGGATTAGAAATCACCGGCTCTAACCCCTCGACCACGGAGGCGGTAACCAGTTAATTAAGAGGTTACCTTATTACGTAACTAGTCAACCACCTATATGGTGGCATATTTCTGCCACCAGATAACCATATAACTAACTAGTTAATTAAGAGGTTAACTAGTTACGTTACCAGTTAATCTCTTAATTAACTAGTTAGTTATCAGCTTATCTTGTGGCAGAAATATGCCACCATAGACTTAATATTTTACTTGTAAAATAATAAAAGGATGGCAGTTCTAGGAACTAACATGCATTTATTTCCCGTTATGATCTTTTATGCATTAAAAAAATACTAGTTTAGCTACTAGTTAACCACAGAGGTAACTAGTTTATTCAGAGATTTACTAGTTACGTAACAAGTTAACCTCTTAACTAACTAATAAGTTATATGGTTATCTCGTGGCAGAAATATGCCACCATATTGTAGTACAAAACGGGTGGTGATAATCATTTTCTTCATTTTACGCATTATGCAGTAGTGACCCTCGATTTACGCAGTGCGAACGTATCCAGAAAATACGAAAAATGAGCTTAAAAAGTATTTAAGGGCTCTAACCCAATTTCAGCGAAAAGAGTACATTTCCTATTTCCATAAGAATATCTGCCTTTATCAACAGAAGTTCATAAATAAATATACATGGTTGCAGTCCGAATTCAACGGAATATTTCCGCATGATATAAAGGCTGTTTTCATAAAAATGTAAATTACTCTTTTATAAACGACATACCTCATATACCGCAAAGCTGAAACGGTAAAAGTTTATTTGTACACTCGGATAAGATGGGAAAATCTTATATTTGCCGTTTACATCAAGTCTAACACTGTGATAGAGCGCATACACGAGTTAATTATAATTAAAAATCGTATATGGACTAGTGTAACCGTAGTATTTTTCTTTTAAATCATAAGTTCTGAGCAGTATTTGATAAGGTTTACAACACTGTTAAAAAGGTTGCACTACAGACTACTTGGTTGTTAGGCCCACGACAAATATTTTTATATTTTTTTACATATGTATAAAATGCAGCTTTAATGTTAGAAATTATAGAAATATAGAACATTTAACATCGTATCGCTTACTAATAAGATTCCAGAATATGATAAAAACTGTTTTCATCAAATTTATTGTTTTTGATTAGTTGACAATAAATACTAGTATACATTTAAATTACTCGATATTGTTTCCTTTGACATGTTTGATAAGCAGAGATGATACTGTTTTGTAATATTTAATTTTTTTTTTGCTTCTTTGTTTTGCTCCTTTTAAACAACCCTATTTGGCAAGTCTCTGAAAGTGCGTGTTTAACAAAAGTTTCAAGAGTTTTTTTTCAAAATACATCCGGAAATAAGCCTATGCGTACAGATTGTGAAACAAACACGCTTATAAATAGTTAAATAGTGAATCAAAACTTTATAAACATATATTATTAATTAAGCCACATTGTACTTTTTAGTAAAACAGGAAACGTTAAACAACAATACTATCTCTTTTTGACATGATAAATCAATATGTCTCGCATTATAATGATACCCAGGTAAGTACATACTTAGGACAATAATATATCAATTGGGGTATAAAAACAAAACAAAACAACAAAAAATGAAAACAAGTGCCGGAAAAAAGTCACATATAAATAAAACAAAAAACACAGTCCATGAGTTAACTTATTTAATTATTTGCCAACCCTATAACAAGTAGAGAAACTGATAGTGAACAGCATGGATCCTGATCAGACTGCGCGGATGCGCCGGCTGGTCTGGATCCATGCTGGTCGCAAACCCACTTTGTTGGTTTTGTCGTGCCACGGCTCATTTATCTTTTTCAAGTGATTTCGTATACAATAAAACTTTTAACGTTTTACAAGTTAATACATGGTATCTTACTTAAACTTTTGTAAATATTTAAAGAGAAAGAAACAAGTCTAAAAGTTTATAAATATTGCCTAGTACATATAAACAATAAAACTTAGTTTGAAAATGATATTGTTATGTTCTTATTAAATTTGATCAGATTGCATTTATACTCGCCGGAACATCATTTTAGAGATCTTGAGTGACTCATACTTTCTAAATGGATAGTATATCATCCCACCTTCCGACTTGACAGGTCGTTGTGTACCAGGAGTAACATATTCACCGTTTAGATTTGCCCTAGCACAATTGTTATACCACCATCCACCATGGTCCATTATAGCGCAATTTCTATCACTGGATCCATCACGATCCATGTCAAAAGTTGAAAAATGGCTACCATTGTGATATGATGAATCATCTCCAGCGCCTGTATTGAAAACAAAACAATAATGTAAGTCAGTGAATCACGTTTCATTAATCTTAACATCGTTAATAATGTTATAAAATGACTATGTTATTATACAACTTGAAATATTTTTTGTAAATTCTGTAAACATCAAATAAAATTTAGAATCGAACATGTCAATGAATACCTGCAGTTCCGACTCCCTTGTCGATATGAAGAGTATAATACGGCCTTTCACCGAGTCTAAAATTTTGAAATGTTTCGTATACAGATGTTCCGTCAGCTGCCGTCAGATCCAGTCTCAGCTCTGTTTTCCCTCGAAAAACCATTTCGTAGATATTTTCAAGGCCTGAATAAAAAAGTATCTTTCTCAGAACAATCTGATAAAATGTAAGCTCATATTTATATTTACCTGACTGGTAAAGAGAACGTTTCACATAATTACAATATTATTTAAACATGTTTGTGACGTCATCTATGTTATACTCGTTGACTCGGGAACTATGCAGTATTACTCGTTATTGTACATTCAGTAATCATCAAAACCATCCGAAATTAATTTTTGTACATGTACATGCAGATAAATAAAATGATGCAAACAACAATGTGCAACAATTGAAGATTTGTGGTGAAATGCTGTCTTTT